TGAATGGATTTATGAATATGTCTGCCCTGTAAAACGGGCTGTGATGTGTGTGTTGTTGAAAACATATTCTTGGTCATAGATGGCGCAACTGAAAAACCTGAAACCCACCTTCAGCTTGGTTTCCCAAGCAGGCTTGCTGGTTTTGGCATGTATTAATAGAAACATCAACACCATAAATTAATGAAATGCTAAATATAATATTTTTCACTTATTTTGACTTAAATTAGTACAGAATAATGCGAAAAGTATTAAAAATATATCTAGTATTCTCTGTTAAAAGGTTATAAAAAAAGTGCCTTAAAAATATATTTATAAAATTTTGTTAAAACATATTTCACTGTTTTAAAATTTACAGTATTTGTTAAGAAATTAATCCTCAACGATGTCTAAATTAGTTATTGCATTAGAACAATTAATGTGTTATTTAAAAGAAAATATTTATGTTTGCGTTTCAAGAAAATATATTTGCAACTGTTGTCTGTTAATTATTCATACATGTTCTATAAAATACTGGGGCAACTATCCTAAATCATAAAATCATTGCATTTGCTAGGAGCGAATTTAGCATCAAAGTAATAAGCATATTCCATTTTTCTACAGTTATCTTAGGATATTATTCATTATGATTTTATTTACTTTTAAAAAATGTATTTGTCTAATCTAATTTTTATTTGTTTAACTACCATATTAATTTTAAAATAACTTTCAGCATTAGATTTCTGAAATTTTGTGACTTCTTAGTAATTTTATGACCTCCCTGTAGCGAACATATTTTTATGTCCGAAAAGTGTCCATTTTACCAAGATTTCTCTGAATTAAAATTCTACATAAAAATAAAACATGTAGTGCCTAGAAATAGGGCAAACTGAAATAATGATCTCAATTGATCAGTCAGAAGAAAAAAAAACAATTGAAAGTTTGAGCCTCTTAATGTTAATTTCTCTTTTTGTATATTTCGCCATCTCCGGAAAGCAAATTAGAAAGTTTTTTTTTTTGTTAATTAATACAGTTAAAAATTTGTTTAATTGCACGTAAAAAAAATTTTTTTAAAAATCCAGTTGACCAATTCCGTTCAAATTTCGCTATTTAAATAAAATAACACGAAATTATAATATATTTTTTTTTTTTTGCTTGGAATTATTTTAAAATTGGAGATTCACTAAAAACTTTACTAGAAATGGCAAAATACGCAAAACGAGAAATTAACATAAAGGGACACAAAATTTCGATCAATCTCGTGACTAAACAATTAGGACCATATTTTTCAGGCACCCACCCCCAATTTCGATGTTCAAGAGTCCAAATCCGACGTAAAAAAGGTATGTTAATCCGAAAAGGGAATGTTTTTGCATCTGATTCCGTTATTTACTTAACAGTTAGCGCTAAAAAGAAATTTAAAATCAAGGCTTTTTAACCATTAAGATTGGCACTTAGTTAAGGAAAATGCATTCATTAGGTTAGAAAAAATTCAGTAAGTTATCTTTTTTTTTTTTTTTTTTNTTTTTTTTTTTTTCTTTACGCAGTGTACAGTGCGCAAAAAAAAAAGGATCACTTTGAATGACTTTTGATTAACTAAGACTCTTAATGGTTCGGGGGGGGGACATCAAATATGTTAGTTAATTAGAGCAAACGATAGTTTAAGTGACGAAATCAGACATAAAAACATACTTTCTCTGAATAACGTACCCTTTTTTCGACGAATGCGATTTCTGATCCCCAAAATATATAGGGGTAGCCGCAATCTGGTCCCCATAGTTTGGCCAGGAGAGAGGTCGAAAGTTTGATCCCCTTAATGTTAATTTTACTTTTTGAGTATTTCGCCATTTCTCAAGAACGTTTTAAGTGAAGTGAAAAATTTTTGCATTCAATTATTCGTTTACCTGAATGTAACTCCGTGCAATAAATGAATTTTAATAAATTTTTATAATAGACGAAATTTGAATTTAAGGTATAAAATGTTTACGTCATTTTAATAGTTCGGTTGAATAGTTCCTGAGAAATCAAAATTCAAATATACGACTTCTTCAAAATTTGATTTCACCGGAACAATTTTCAAAATGATTTAAAAATATTTTGTCTATTGAAGTTGCCTGATTATAAAATATGCAATGAAAGCTAAAATAGATAATAGCGGGATATATTTTAGGGCTTGTTTCGTTCTGATGTTAAGAACCGCATTTGATTTGTCTGTTACTTAGGATTGGCCCGAAAACTGGATTTGCGCAAAGTAATAACATATACTAGATAGTTCAAAGCTTATAGAAAGGTAAATATTGTAAATTAATTGTAATATTGTTATTGGTTATTAATAAAAATTTAAATGCAACATTTTAATTCGATGATTTTCATAAAATTTATTAATATTTATTGAAAATATTATTCATTTAATTGAATATCGGAGTTGTTGGCTAGTTACAAATTTTTTTAGCCTGTATTTGCTCGATTAGGATTAGCATATGGCAGAAATATCAATCTGGTTAACTAAACAATTTCTATGTCAATTTATTCGTTTGTTATTTTTAATTAATACGCAAATAACTCATATGATTTTGTTTAGAATTTAATTGAATTTGTTGGATATCTGTAGTTTTTAATCAAATTTCGGAAAAGTATGTCTGTTTTGTTGAAGAAATAAATATTACTACAAGAAATTCGCTTAATTCTATTTATTTTATTAAAAATAGTATTTAAATAAACGTTTTTAAAAACATTATTATTCCATGTAATTAGTTTATTTATATTAAATTTAAAATCATTTCTTCTATTGTATTTGTCAACAATATAGATATTTTCTTCTTTTTTAGCACTTAAATCCAAAAAAATTAAAATTTAAGACGAAGCAATCATGATCCCGTGAGAAAAATCAGCAATTTACAAGACTTTAGCATATTGCATGCGGGCAACTTTTCCAAAAAATGTATAGCAGTTGTTATAGATAGATTAAAATTTTTAAAAAGTAGTCGGCAAAATTTCATAAAAGTTGGAATAAACTTATTGTGACTATGGCTGTAACTTCAATTTAAAAAAAAAAATTTCGACGAAGGATTGTAGTACTGATTACATATGTAGCGAATCATTTATCTTTGTAGTAATCACGAACGGATAATTATTTTGAAAAACAAAGCAGAAACAAAGTAGTTTTGCTACGATTTTTTTAAAACTTTGCATGGATCGCAGAATCTTCAAAAATTTATTTTTACTTTACTTGAACCGTTTGCAATGTGTTAACATTAGCAGACACGAGATGGAGTCGAATTGATTGGTCAAGACTATAATTCAGAATTTACAACAGCGGTTCTCAATTTTTTAAGGCTACGGAACCGTAAATGATCGAATGTCTTTTGGCAGAACCCCAAACATGTAAATAAAATTTAGTAGCAGCCGTGAACAATGAACATATTGACCAAAGAAAGACTACCAATTATTTTGATAATATTTAATGTGAAGATACAGAGGCGCGATGGCTCAGGGGATAGAGCGTTCGCCTTCCAATGACGTGAACCTGGGTTCGAATCCCGGCAATAGCTGGTTGATTCCACATCCGGCTTGCACCGACCACAGTGCTGACGTAAAATATCTTCAGTGGTAGACGGATCATATGTTAGAGTCACCGTGCCGCCGGGCTAACCGTGGGAGGCTCTCGTGGTCTTCCTGTCCATGTAAAGCAAATGCAGGTTAGTTCCAGCAAAAAGTCCTCCACAAAGGCAAATATCTCCCAATACTCAATCCAGGAGTTCCCTTATCTTCTGGATTGGGTTCAAAATTACTAGGCTGCGGAGATGAACATTAGTAGTCGTAAACTCAAAAATTGGGTCGGCTGTTCAACGACGGTTATAAAATAAAATAGAATGTGAATATAGAGAGCCGTGGTCTCAGGGGATAGAGCATTTGCCTTCCAATGAGGTGAACCGGGTTCAAATGCCTGGTCGATACGAATTCAGCACCGACCACAGTGCTGACGTAAAATATTCTCAATGGTGGACGGATCATGGGTTAGAGTCCCCTTGCCGTCAGGCTAACCGTAGGATTGTTGGGTGGTTTCCCTCTCCGTGTAACGCAAATGCGGGTTAGTTTCATCAAAAAAAATACTCCGCGAAAGCAAATTTCTCCCAATACTTTATCCAGGAGTTCCCTTGTCTTCTGGATTGGATTCAAAATTACAAGGCTACGGAGTCGAACATCAGTAGTCGTAAACCCAGAATTGGGTCGGCTGTTCAATGACGGTTATAAGATTATGTGAATATTGAAATTTTTTTAATAATCGTTGTTCAATAAAGGTTTTATGTCAAAACAGTAGAATTCGCAGTCCTGGAGTGGAATCTAGTCTAGCTTTGAATTTGTCATACGTTAGCTGAAAATGAACGGAATTATGGTTTTCGAAGAACTCTTACAAACGTTGAGAATGGAATGTTTATCCGAGTATATAATTTAATAAATGCATATAAAATTGAACATTGTTGCATTTGGTAATTTTATTTTGTGATAAATTCGACGAAAAATACTGATACAATTTTTTAGAAATTTTATTTCTTTTTTCTTTACTAGAATTTTACGTAAATAATTTCATAAAAATAACAATCAAAGAAATTATGGTTTATTGTTTTGATATAAATACAATTACGAGTTTCAAAAATTATCACTGATTTCAAAAATTTAAACACTTAGCACCTCTGGGACCTTATTATGGAGTTCCAGGGTTCCGCGGAACACCATTTCGGAACCGCTGCTTTACACAACGAAAATAGAAAGTTACCATATCTTTTTCTCGGGATTATAATAATTTTTGGTCCACTTTTAATGACTTTAATATTCAGAATAAATAAATCCTAATGGCTTCGAATTCGTAAAAATAAAAAAACTTCTATTAGTAACGATTTTTTTCTTGTAAGATCTACAATGAGAAAAGAAAATCATGCATTCTCAGTCCCGAAATTGTGAAAATAATAAATAAAAACATAAATTTTAGAGACTTTTTTTTTTTCCACAGCGATAAATATCAGAAATTATCAATCTCAAAAATAGCAAAGGGAGGAAGTAATTTATATCGATTTGTAGTCAAAATATCGAAGAGTATTTGTGCTACTTGGTTCACAAATGAATATACACCTGTTTTTAAGAAGGAAATAGAAAAGAATAGTTTTTTATTTTATCATTTTCCTTATCTTATCAACTTTATAGCTAATATTTATTAAGTCATAGTATAGAAGAGATAATATAATTGTGAAACTCAATTTACCTGAATTATCAGTTATTCTAAAATAAAGCCATATTCTTATCATTAAAGGAAAGAGTTAGGACAAATGTGACAGAAATAAATTTATAATCGATGCTGAATAATGGCTGAAGCTGCAAAAAATACAGTATGCTTAGAGACTAATAATATTACGCGAATCATAAAAATCGTGAATTTCAGCAATACAAAACCCGGTGACAAAATCAAAGACCAGGATATTTCACATAAGTGCATTTTTGTCAAACTGCTGCAAATCAGAGTTTATCCGGCAGGAAAAAGCCAACACAAAGGATATGTTTCTGTAATGATTAGAAGGCACTGGATACCTGAGTATCCCTTGAGTTTCCATTGCACAGTCAACATNATATATATATTTCAGTAAGGAAAAAAAGTAGCGCATATTTAAGATTTGTAGCGTTCGAAAAATAATAAGTAGCCCAAAAAGTAGCAAGTAGCGAAAATTCAATTTTCAGTAGCGGGGACTTTTAAAAGTAGCCCAATCCGCTACTTGTAGCCCAATCTGGCAACACTGATGTGAAGTGTTGCCATAGGAAAAGAGTTCTGCTCTACGCCACCTGCAGCCCATTTCGATCGCCAATAATTCCTGAGAAATCAAATTTTAAATAAACGACTTCTTTAAAATTTGATTTCACATTTTCAAAATGATTTAAAAATATTTTTATATTGAAGTTGCCTGATTATAAAATATGAAATGAAAGCAAAAATAGATCATTGTGGGATATATTTTAGGGCTTGTTTCATTCTGAAATTAAGAACCGCATTTGATTTGTCTGTTACTTAGGATTGTCCCGAAAACTGGATTTGCGCAAAGTAATAACATATACTAGATAGTTCAAAGTTTATGGAAAGGTAAATATTGTTAATTAATTGTAATATTGTTATTGGTTATTAATAAAAAAGTTGAAATTTTAACGCAACATTTTAATTCCGTGATTTTCATAAAAATATTATTCATTTAATGGAATATAGCAGATGGTTGTTGGTTAGTTACAAATTTTTTTAGCCTGTATTTGCTCGATTAGGATTAGCATATAGCAAAAATATCAATCTGGTTAACTAAACAATTTTTATGTCAATTTATTTGTTTGTTAATTTTAATTAATACGCAAATAAACCATATGATTTTGTATAGAATTTAATTGAATTTGTTGGATATCCTTAGTTTTTAATCAAATTTCGGAAAGGTATGTCTGTTTTGCTGATTAAATAAATATTACTACAGCAAATTCATTTAATTCTACTTATTTGATTAAAAATAGTTTTTAAATAAACGTTTTTATAAACATTACAATTCCATGTAATTAGTTTATATTAAATTTAAAATCATACCTTCTATCGTATTTGCCAACAATGCAGATATATTCTTCTTTTTTAATACTTAAATCCAAAAAAATTAAAATTTAAGACGAAGCAATCATGATCCCGTGAGAAAAATCAGCAATTTACAAGACTTTAACATATTGCATGCGGGCAACTTTTCCAAAATAATGTATTGCAGTTGTTATAGATAGATTAAAATTTATGAAAAGTAGTCGGCAAAATTTCATAAAAGTTGGAATAAACTTGTGACTATGGCTATAACTTCAATTTTAAAAAATAAAAAATTACGACGAATGTTTGTAGGACTGATTACGAATCATTTATATTTTGTAGCAATCACGAATGGATATTTCATAAAAGTCGGGACAAACTTGTGACTATAGCTACACGACGAAGGAGTTTAGTACTGATTACATAAGTACCGAATCATTTATGTTTGTGGAAATCATGAATGGATAATTTCTTTGAAAAACAGAGCGGAAACAAAGTAGTTTGGCTACCATTTTTTAAACTTTGGTATGGATCGCAGAATTTTCAAAAACGTATTTTTACGTGACCCGCTTGCAATGTCTTAACATTATTAGACACCAGATACAGTCGAATTGATTGGTCAAGACTATAAATCAGAATTTACAACAGCGATTCTCAATTTTTTACTGCTACGGAACCCTAAATTATCGAGTATCTTTTAGCGGAACCCCGAGTATATGAATAAAATTTATTACCATCCGTGAACATATTGACCAAAGAAAGACTACCAATTATTTTGATAATATTTAATGTGAAGTTTGAGCCACAGGGGATAGAGCGTTTGCCTTCCAGAGAGGCAAACCGGATTCGAATCCCGGCAATAGTTGTTAGATGCGAATTCCACATCCGGCTTGCACCGACCACAGTGCTGACGTGAAATATCCTCAGTGGTAAACGGATCATGTGTTAGAGTCCCCTTGCAGTCGGGCTAACCGTGGGAGGTTCTCGTGGTCTTCCTGTCCATGTAACGCAAAAGCGGGTTAGTTCCATCAAAGAGTCCTCCACGAAGGCAAATTTCTCCCAATACTTGATCCAGAAGTTCCCTTGTCTTCTGGATTGGGTTCAAAATTACAAGGCTATGGAGTTGAACATTAGTAGTCGTGAACCCGAAAATTGGGTCGGCTGTTCAACGACTTTTATAAAATTATTAAGTAAAATAAAATGTACAGATATAGCAGTGGTGGCTCAGGGGATAGAGCATTCGCTTCCCAATGAGGTGAACCGGGTTCAAATGCCAGCGATGCCTAGTCTATACGAATTCAGCACCGACCACAGTTCTGACGTAAAATATCCTCAATGGTGGACGGATCATGGGTTAGAGTCCCCTTGCCGTCAGGCTAACCGTAGGAGGGTTGTGTGGTTTCCCTCTCCATGAAACGCAAATGCGGGTTAGTTTCATCAAAATAATCCTCCGCTAAGGCAAATTTCTCCCAATACTTTATCCACGAGTTTCCTTGTCTTCTGGATTGGATTCAAAATTACAAGGCTACGGAGTCGAACATCAGTAGTCGTAAACCCAGAATTGGGTCGGCTGTTCAATGACGGTTATAAGATTGATTATGTGAATATTGAAATTTTTTTAATGATCGTTGTTCAATAAAGGTTTTATGTTACGTTTCAATAAAGGTTTTATGTCAAAACAGTAGAATTCGCAGTCCTGGAGTGGAATCTAGTCTAGCTTTGAATTTGTCATACGTTAGCTGAAAATGAACTGAATTATGGTTTTCGAAGAACTCTTACAAACGTTGAGAATGGAATGTTTATCCGAGTATATTATTTAATAAATGCATATAAAATTGAACATTGTTGCATTTGGTAATTTTATTTTGTGATAAATTCGACGAAAAATACTGATACAATTTTTTAGAAATTTTATTTCTTTTTTCTTTACTAGAATTTTACGTAAATAATTTCATAAAAATAACAATCAAAGAAATTATGGTTTATTGTTTTGATATAAATACAATTACGAGTTTCAAAAATTATCACTGATTTCAAAAATTTAAACACTTAGCACCTCTGGGACCTTATTATGGAGTTCCAGGGTTCCGCGGAACACCATTTCGGAACCGCTGCTTTACACAACGAAAATAGAAAGTTACCATATCTTTTTCTCGGGATTATAATAATTTTTGTCCACTTTTAATGACTTTAATATTCAGAATAAAAAAACCTAATGGCCTGGAATTTGTAAAAAATTTAAAAAAACTTCAATTTGTAACGATTTTTTTCTTGTAAGATCTACAATGAGAAAAGAAAACCACACACAGTCCCGAGATTGTGAAAATAATAAATAAAAATATAAATTTTAGAGACTTTTTTTTTCCATAGCGATAAATATCAAGAATTATCAATCTCAAAAATAGTAAAGGGAGGAAGTAATTTATATCGATTTGTAGTCAAAATATCGAAGAGTATTTGTGCTACTTGGTTCACAAATGAATATACACCTGTTTTTAAGAAGGAAATAGAAAAGAATAGTTTTTTATTTTATCATTTTCCTTATCTTATCAACTTTATAGCTAATATTTATTAAGTCATAGTATAGAAGAGATAATATAATTGTGAAACTCAATTTACCTGAATTATCAGTTATTCTAAAATAAAGCCATATTCTTATCATTAAAGGAAAGAGTTAGGACAAATGTGACAGAAATAAATTTATTATCGATGCTGAATAATGGCTGAAGCTGCAAAAAATACAGTATGCTTAGAGACTAATAATATTACGCGAATCATAAAAATCGTGAATTTCAGCAATACAAAACCCGGTGACAAAATCAAAGACCAGGATATTTCACATAAGTGCATTTTTGTCAAACTGCTGCAAATCAGAGTTTATCCGGCAGGAAAAAGCCAACACAAAGGATATGTTTCTGTAATGATTAGAAGGCACTGGATACCTGAGTATCCCTTGAGTTTCCATTGCACAGTCAACATCATCGACGAATTCGGTGAACTCAGATTACCAGCTTCGTTTGGGCATCGAAGTCGAGGCGAGAGAAGCGTAGAAGATATCGGCCTGGAAAAATATATCAGCCGATTCGAACTTTTGAATGACACAAGCGGACTACTGCCCAATAATACACTGACCTTACATTGTGAAGTGTCGTATACAATCGAATCAGCTAAGGAGCCGATGGCTGAAAGCTTATGGAACATGATAAACTTATTGTGTGAAATGTTTCCACAAAGAGAAGACAGGGATGTTCCAAATCAGGTGAAAAAATGGACATTTTTGATTCAAACAAACGAAGGCGATACCTTTCCGCTAAAATTCGAAGAGGGCAGAAGAACTTTGGGTTCGGAAGTGCTAGAAGCGTCAAGGGTCATCAGTGCAATGGTGGAGACGCCGATGACGGAAAAGATTGAGCAGAAAGTTATCCTTGCAGATGTCGATTGTGGGACATTGAGTAATTTCTTGAGTTATGTCGAGAGGAAGAGACTTATAGTCAATACTGTAGAAGAAGCTTGTAATCTTTATGAAATGGCGGACAAGTATGCGGTTATGAATTTAATGCGAGATTGTGGGAGCTATTTGGCACACAATCTTAATTCAGATAATATGATCGAAATATCATTTCTGGCAGACATACATAATGATGATACATTGTTCCATGAATGCAATAAGTGCTTGAAGCAAAATATCAGTATAGAGAATGTCCATGAAATATTCAATTTGGCAAAAAATCGATGTGCTCATGAATTGTTAACTTCAGTTGGTGAGTTTGTTAGTGAAAATAGAAATACTTTATTAGAAAGAGGACATGAAAGTATTGTGCATTGGTTAGATGAAAGAGACAGAGAAGTTGAAACTGTGGTTGTAGAAGACAGAATACTAGGCGATGACACAGCACCAGAATCTCTAAACAGTTTAGAACCTCCGATTTCAGGTCAATTTGAATTCTATCGATAATAATGTTATTCACTTATACAGCATCCTATTTCATATAACATTACTGATTGAGAAAAAATCCCCTTTCAAAGATAATGTATAAGAATTTCCATTTTAGTAATTTGTAATTATCACTGGGGTATTTTAGTACAATTTTTTATACTTTTTTAGCAATAACTCTGCTTTGAACTATTGTTAAAAATTAGTTTCTTTTTTTTTAATGAACCAATTATTAAAACAGTATTACAAACACAATAAATAAGACCAATTTCTCAATGTCTAATTTCCAATCGACTGATTCTTTTTGGCTATTCTTAAATAAATAATTACCAAAAATTATTTGTTGCTTGGTATTATCTTTGGATAAACGCTTTAACAATCGTGCACAACAAGTAAAATTAATATTAGGGGTCCAAACTTTGGACTGCATTCTTGACCAAACTATTGGATCTTTACCCTTCATATTTTTTTTTCTTTTTTTGAAAATCAGGAATCCAAATCCTTAGAAAAAAGATATCAGTAAGAAAACTTTTGTTTCTGATTTCGTAACTTGAAACATTATCTGCACTATAGTTTGTCTAAAGTAAGAACTCTAAGTAAGTTAGTCTAAGTAAAGTAAGAAAGTATATATTTTTTATTATTATATTTTAAATGTTAGCTAAAAAAAAGGATACTTATTATAAAAAATACTTTAAGAAAGCAAACAAAATTGCTCTATGAATTTGTATTTGGGTATTTGCATTGAAATTCATAAATTTTTGGTATAAAAAGTTTTTCTTTCTAGACTAGACCATTTATTAAAATGAAAAATAAAATAAAAATTCGAAAAATATGAATAAAAATTCTCCTAGTTTAAATTTCTTCGTACTTTTAATTGAAAAATGATATAGATTACGTAGATTTAATTTGAAGAAAAAAAATTCATCCACTATATCTTAATTCCTGTGGATTCATTCATATACCTTTGGCTGCAATACTTGTTTATTAGTCTTTATTATTCTCTGCTATAACTGTGTTTTTTTATTTATTCAGAATTTAAGTTCTTAAAATTAAATTTTTTCCTTCCTTTATTATATAAGAAAGTAATCGCAAAATTACCTTATTACACAAAGTTTTACAATAAACATATTTAGTTACAGTTTTAAAATTTTACTCCAAATAAGTTGAACATTTACTTTTAAAACATATTTTATCTAAAACTGTGTCCAGCTAACATATGCAATTAAAATAATAAATAAAAATGCAAATTAACTATTTGAAGTCATATAGTAATATTAGGAATAAACTTTTCGCATTATAAAAAATTTTTAGAGAAAATTATTTGAATTTTTAATATCAACCAAAAATTAAATAAGTATGTATCTAAAAACCAACAAGGACATAGTATCAAAATTTTTAAATGGAACAAAATAAATATACTTAGTACAATAGCTCTCACATTTTACAATTTACTAAAAACATATGACATTTACTTGAATAATTGCAAGTTTTTTTTTTTATATCTTCCTTTTATTTTTTAAAGCTATAAAAATCTTCAGGACTCTTATGAAATTCAGAATACATAAAATTATATGGTATGCTAATAAAAGCTAACATTTTAATTTTAAATCCTTGAGAAGGATAGATACAGCTATTCTTCAAAAAAATATTTTATTAAATACTAATCATATTTACCAATTAGGGTGGCAGTACTAAAATTCATTCTTTATAAATCATGCATGTTGAATTTAAAATTATAGTCTTTGCTAATTATCTTAATGTAAATTGCACTATTTCATTCGCATGTTGAAATGAAATTCAAAAGTATGTACAATTTCATAAAAATGGAGAAAAATGCCAATTTTGTACATAAAAAACTTACATAAACAAAATTAAAAGTCTCACTAAGTCAAATAGATTTAAAACTTTAATTTTTCTTTCACTTACAGATTCAAATGCAGTAAATTCAAATCACAAATTTAAATAACCATAAATAACAGTTGAATTTTGATATAAAATTTGTTCATATATACATATTTTACATATAGGAATGTTTTAATATACATAATATTCACATAATGCCTAAAGAGTTTAAAAAATAAACTACTTATATATGACAAATGTAAAATAATTTACACTTTCATGCGAGCTTTCAATTTTTAAAAATAGCTATCAAAACTTCAAGCAAGAAATACTACAAATATTATAAAAAATATTATTAAGACAGCAAATATTTTCAACATAAGCCATCGATTTGAAGTGACAGATTCAAAGTATTTAAGGATTTCTGAATGGGCTGCCTCAACGTTGAGGTAAGACTGTTCAACATTGGAATCAATCCTCATCACTTGCTCTTCTTGTTCTTTGACCATGTGAGCCAGCTGTTGAAATATGCTCCCCAACTCTACAATTGTAGCTTCAATATTCTGCATGGTATCGGCACGACTTTGAATGTAGGAATCCTAAAACAAACAAGATATGTCACAGGTATGCTTACAGTTCTTGAGTTCCAATGGAAAAAAAATCAAGTTTATAAAATTTAATGAAAGAAACAATATAAAAGAAAATAATACAACTTAAAAAAATGACAGCATAATTATTGGTTGAGTATAAAATATAGTTACAAAAATCAAATATAGTTTAGAAATGATAAACTTGGGATTACAGTTAAATTGACTTCAAAAATAATCTTGAACAATCTACTTTCAAATTAAAAGCTTATAAAAACGGGCTAGATAAGTCATAGAAATTGCCAAACAAAAGCACATATAAATTGGCCATCCTAATTTCGAAAACAGAGGAGCACAGTACATTGTTATCTTAGACCAAAAAAAAAAAACTAGCTTAATTTAAGGCTAATATATTTTAAAAGATGACTTAAATAGCAATATTAAATTATACTTAAAACACTTTTTTTAAAAAAATTTCAAATGGACTCAGATTTAGAAATCTTAGTCAAAAATTGCTAGTCCTTTGGATTAATTTGCTTTCAAGCTTACAGAATTCTTAAAGTTTCACAAAGTATGTTCCTGTTCAAATAAACTCATAGAGTCATAATCACTCTAGTGAGTGTTGTAAGATGTCTTTTGTCCTAATAATGAAGTCTCGTGATAAGTGGGCATTCAGAAGGAGAAATTCTCCACTTTCTATTTCCCTTACTTATTTCAATAGAAGAAAAATCAATTGCTGAACTTTAATGAAAAATATGATATTGTGGTGCATTTTGGTGCAAAGAAAACTTTGCTTAAGGAGGACCTTATACATTTCAAGTTATTTATCGATTTCATGAATTGCGATTGCATTTTACTTTATAAATGAACTTTTAGCACATTCTACTTTTCTTCAAAATATATTAATTCTGGTTATTGCATTTTATTCATTCTAAACATGCAAGAAAATAATCTAATTGTGAAGTAATGATTATATAACATAATTATTATTTAAATATATATTTTTTAAATTTTAGTCCTAAAATCTACCAGGAAAAATTTTAGAGACCTTTTTTTCTGATGCATTTATTTACATTGTATTTATTTATTTTTTACTCTTTCTAATGCATTAGAAAGAATAAATTCTTCAATATTATTCAATGGTTTCAGGACCTTCCTTTTAATTAGTTTAGATGATGAAATACGTTTGCTCAAAAAGAAGAGAGTCTATAAAAGATTACAAAACTATTCAATAATAAGGGCAAATTTTTTTAACCTTTGATGAAATTATTAAATTTTTATTAACTGAAATCATCAAATCTTTTTTTTTAATTGCAATAATTACAAGGGGGGGGATGAAAATACTAGAAGTAGTATTAATACCCATTAACTTTCTCATCACAGGTGTAAAGTTAAACAAAATCTGAAAGTTTAAATGAGGGAAGTGAATTGTATTAGGTAACGCAATGTGCAACTTTTATTTTATTTTTAACTTTCTTGATACGTCTAAAACAATTTCTTGTAAATATTTTTGAACATTTCAAATACCTGTAAAGACATCTATGATTTTACATAATGTGCTTGACCAATTGTAAAATCTATAGTGGTTAAGTTTAAATGCATTTTTTATGTACTTCAATATTGATACATCAATAAAAAAATAATTGTACAGTGTCGTTATAAAATAACTTCAGATGTTACTAAAAACTACCGAATCGAATTGTAATGAATTTTATCAAGATACATTTTTATTGTGTTTAAAAATTACAATTTTCTTAATTTTGTAAAAATGTGAATAATTTTGCACAAATAACATAATTATCACAAAATTGGAGTTTTAAAATAATTTTATAATTTTGCAAGGTCTTGTCTAAAAGTGATCCAATATTTTACTGTTCTACAAATCTTAACATCTATGAAGCTCTAGACTGAAGCCCTTGCTTTCAAAAGAACAAAAAATAAATATACACAATAAAAGTCTAGGGGGACACTGATGTTGGGGCAAGGAGATTGGGAGAAATATTACAGTTCAACCTACTACATATTACAGCTCTATGGATAAACTAGAAAGGTTTTTCTTTCACACTTATTTTAATAAAACTTCTATATACAGTGAATTCGCGATAACTCGAATCTGATGGGACTGACGAAAAACTTCGACATATCGGAAGTTCGACTTACCGTTAGTTTCGGTTTTGGACTTTCAAAATATTGTCGGATTATTAAGTTAATGCTTATTATTTTCAAATCTGCCAATTGCTTACAATATTTAAGATCATTTTTCTGACAAGCCATTTTCGATAAGACTGTTTGAAGCACTTTATGATACCCTGGTCCATCGGCTGCAACTTTGCTGTTGTGTTTGGCGGGAGAAACTGCAAGTTTACTGCTTTCACATTAAGTAGATCACAATGTGCTGTGCATTTATCCATAAAGAGTATCACTTTTTTTTTTAGCGAAGAATTTCTGATCCAATTTTCTTACATAGTCTTCAAATAAAACTGATGTCATCCAAAACTTTTTGTTAGACTTGTAATCCAAAGGATACGTTTTTACATTCTTGAAACATCGGGGATTTCGGTATTTTCCGATAACAAGTAAGGGCAATTTCTCTGTCCCAGACGCATTTCCTCCAACTAGGACAGTCAAACGTTCCTTGCTCATTTTACCCCCTGAGCAGTTTTCATCCTTAAGCATCATAGTCTTATTTGGAAGACATTTAAAAATTAAACCCATTTCATCAATATTGAAAACATCATTTTAACTGTATCCTTGAAGTAAATTTGGTGACGTTTCATTTAACCACTGTTCACATACTTCAACAGGGACAGCTTTAGCTTCTCCATGAAGAGTGCGTGAGACATTGTGTGTGTGTTGCAAAGGAAGGGGCAAGATATCAGCTCCTAGGTTTTTTTTTCTTGCTTTAAAAGATCTCCAAAAAATCGAGTTAAAGGGAGTAAAATTCGAGTAATAGAGAATAATTAACATGAAATTGAAGATAAAAGGCTCGGGACCTCATAAAAAAATGGAGTTATAGTAATATTCGAGTTATCGTACTTCGAGTTATAGCGAATTGACTGTATAGCATTTAGAAAGTAAAAAACACTACTGTAAAATTGGCAAAGCCTGTAGAACCAGCTTTTCAGCTCTAACAATGCAAAGAAAAACAAATTCACCTGTTCATCAATGAGTTGCATCTGCTGTTGAAAGTGATCTTGAGCACTACCCATGTTAATTGACACATCACCTCTACTTGCATGGTCATCGGACAAAAGAACACTTCCACTGTGACCAGATATTGCAGAGGCTGGGAGGGTAGCTGACACACCACCTTCAGTAAACTGATCTCGACGGTTCTTTTGATGTTTCAGATTCTACATTTAAACAATAGTCATTGAATGCATTTTATTAAATGCGAAATCTTTAACATTACTACAATTTTTATCTCACCCTTAATAATTAGTAGAGGGGCAATTCATTTTAAAAACTATCAAGGATAATTATAGATATGTTCCAAAAATAGAAATTTCAAAATTTATTATACTCAGTAAATAATCAGTTGGATAATATTTTGTTTTAATATAAATCTATAATTAAGAAAAATATGGGAATTTTTTTAAATTTCATCTTCAGGAAAAATTAGCATCTTTTATTATTTGTGTTACAATTATTATATGTTACCACCATTTATTGGTGAAAAGAAATGCAGGTTCTTGAGTGCTTCAAGATAATTTACTTTGATGAAATTTTAAAATATACTAAAAAGTAGAATAAGTTTTTTTTTTCTTTTTTAATTAAATTAAAAAGATAGCTAAGATAATTTTTTTAACATAATTTTAAATTTATACTTGAACCATGAGATACCAAAACATATTTAATAGGCTAAAATGCAAAAAAAATTAACATTTTAAAATATTAGAAAAGTTTATATAATTAATTACAACAAACAATCTAATTTTAAAATTTGGTACTATTTTATTTTTAAAAAACAATTTTCAGTATATGAGCAGGTCTAAATTATCATAGGCACTATTTGCAGTTGAAATATTCAAATGGAAAAGAAAAACATGGGAAAATTAAATTCAAACATTAAGCATTCAGAAAAATTGTTTTATATTTATTTTCTGAAAACAAAATTAGATGAATAATTATTTTGTTCTTGCATCATTAAAAAATTTAAAACTTAGCAATGCCAAAATAAATTTAAATGCTTTGTAAATAAAATTACCTCTCTTTTTTAACCTTTTCGTTAAAAATAGTCTTTAACATTAAAAAAAAAAACATTATATTGATGTAAACATTAAGTATGATACAAGAAAATGAAACTAACCTCTGTTCGCACTTCAAGAACTTCCTTGAAATCATTCGACATAGAGGCAAGTTTAGACTGGAAAAAGGAATTTTTATATCTTTAATATAACAAAAACAATAAATCAGCTGAAAATGACATTTTTATTGAAATATAAAATGAACAACCATTTGATTGAATTATATACATACAGTGAAATTAGCTTACAAATAGAATGAATGCAATCACTCATTAGGCCAAGTTAAACAAAATTATACAAAAAAATGTCCTATAAATATAATACTAGTGATCTAACATTACAAAAAATGTAAATATATATAGATATATATAAAAATGGGAAAAAATGATTAAGAAAATGCAAATATAAACAGATATAAATATATACTGAGCCCCTTTTCCATTAACCATTTTTAATATTATCAGTATCAAATGACTTTCCTTTAGTGCTCACATAGCTGTTATTAATAGTTTTTATTTTGTAATTATATTACTATTTTAACATACACACTTAAGATACGCGGAGTGTCAAGCAAATTTATCATAGAACCAATTTATAAAAGCTTTTTTAATTATCATTAAAAGCTTTTTTAAGTTCCTTTATTTTTTAATAGTGTTGAAACTATAGAATAACCTAAAATATTTCTTCTGTAAGTATAAACAGTCCTTAATTATTTATCATATCATGAAATTTTGATTTTTTCTTTCATAGCTGACGAAAATTTAGCATTCATCACTGTACTTATCTATTCCTTCCCATTTATCACCAAGAATAGATGGTTTTTAAGAAACTGAAATTCCTTAGAATATTTTGCATTAATAATTAGACAATAAAACTTTTTTTTTCTCAGCCATAACTTTCATCATAAGTGAATGAAAAATAATTATTGAACATAAACAATCAAAATTAAATTTTAAAAGTAAGGTTCTCCATCCACATAATCAAAACAAAAACAATTAAAACATGAAGTTGAGTTGAACATATGAGGCTAACTCCTGTGCAGGAAATGCTTAAGCCCTGTCTACATAAACAATAGCCGGATGACATTTATCAGCTCAAGGTTGTTTTCACTGCTAGTTTTTATGCATTCATTCTTAGTCTTTAAAAAGAAAATCTACACATACATGTCCATTTTATTTTATTTTATAACCGTCTTTGAACAGCCGACCCAATTCCATGGGTTTACGACTACTTACGTTCAACTCCGTAGCCTTGTAATTTTGAACCAATCCAGAAGACAAGAAAACTCCTGGATCAGTACCCCCAGAGGTATTGATTTGTTGTGGGAACATGGAGGACTTTGAGACTCGACAGATTTAACGTGCATCAGTCACCATTTACTACACGGGGAGTCTTCGGCCGGCGAGGATCGAACACACAACCTCTTGGATATAGGCCCAGCGCCCTACCGACCAGGCTATCCCGGCCCATACATATCCATTGCTGATATCAGATACTAGACCTAATTGGTTAAGATTCATAGCAAGACAGATAATGACAGACCACACATTCTTACTCCTTACATCTGCATGCAATTTTTTAACTTAGTTTGGGTTTTAAGATTCTTTTCAAGGGAATGAAATTCTTAAAAATAACAGTAAACAAACCTTAATTCCAAACAAGCGGTCAAATACCTTTTTGCTGAAAGCATCGATAAATCTCTTTTCAAGAGTTTAATAAAACAATGCTCGTTAAATCTGAATTATGCAGGCAACAACAAAGTTATATATAGGGTTTTTATGAAACCATTTATCACTTTTTTAAAAAACTAATATTTCATAAAGGAAAAATAAAATTTTCTGAGAAAACAATGAAATAAATTAAAAATGCATTAGTTAATTTTACAATTCTAACTTTAACACAGTTTCTGTTAGGAAATGAGAAAGCAAAAGCTAACATTAGAAAACAAAAACAGTCAAACTTTTTTTGTTCCTAAAACTATTTTAGCGAAAATGAATAAGTCTTGAGCAATAAAATTGCTAGCAAACATTGGAGTCCACTGTAACCTTCAATGACAAATGAAATCATACATTACAAGATTTTAGTAAGCTGTATGAACTGCTAATTAAAAATAAACTTCATCGAAACTTACTCAAAATAAGGAATTTGCTATTTTCCATAAATTAGGCCTATGTTCTTCTTTAATTTCATTACAAAATAATATACAATTTTCTTGTATTATTTATTTTTATTTCAGTAATTTAGTTTTATTTAATTTTCAATGATTACGATTCATCAAAAAGATTTGGCTTGAATTAGGGACATGTACTAAAACTTTTACACAAAAAATGTATAGACTGACAAAATAACAATTGTAGCAAAAATTATATATTTTTTTTAATCATTTACTTAAAAAAAATTGTTTTCAAATCTATAGTTAGATTAATAGTTTTATAGAAATAGTACAATAATGTTTTGAAATAACTCAAATAAAACATAATTTTGCTTTTTTTATTATTACAAGTAGACCAGATAAAACTGATGAACTCAACCAGATAAAGCAGTATAAAATTTGGTAACTAAAAATAAATTTAGTTCAGATATCTAGAAATGTGGCAATATTCTAATATTGAAATTAATTCAAGCATCAAACCACATTTTTGACTTGTTATTATAATTACTACTAATATAACTCAAAATAATATTTTTTATAATGTTCCACTTCTTTTCCCAATGATTTTCATTTTAGCAATTAATATATTATAACTGTTTTTGATTCAATCCAAGTAAGTATAAGAAAAAAAGTAGAACACTTATTTTAGATGTTTTAAACCATACAAAAAAGGTAGCATACATTATTTTTAATTACCACATAAAATTATTATTTCATTAATATTTTGATTAACATTGAAAAAATTAAAAGGTAAAAACATGATATTAAAAAAAAATGTACCTGCAACGCAATAACAACAGAGTTACTATGAGATTGCATATGTTTCCCATTATTATAATTTCGACCTTTTGATACCTGAAAAATTTGAAATTAAAAACCATATTAAAATAACAATTTATACCAGAATAAATTAAAAAAATATGTATAATAAAAAAAATAACTAACCTCTTGCAACTGAGCTATTTGCTTATTTAAATTGTTTATATCTTGTTTTATGATGTAAGTTAATTCTTGAATTTCAAGGGGTCTATCATCAAAAAGGGTCTTTTTCTTTGCCACTGTTGAAAATAAATGAAATAAGCATCAAAATGTTTTTAACAAACAAATAAAACATACAAAAATTTATAATCATTATTTTGTAAAAGCCATGGCATTCCATTACTAAAACTAGCTATAATTTTGGTTAAAGTACTTAAAAAACAATTCATAAATGCCCAACTATCAGTTGCGATGATATCTTGCTCCGAGTTTACTAAAATCTATAGAAATTAATTTTCATTCTATCTTTTAGCACGACCCTTCATTTATTTATAGCTTTTTTAATTTATGAAACAGTAAAAATCACAAGATTTGCTTGTTCGCTTTCTAAAATCTAATGCCTTGCAACACACTATTGGTACATAAATTACAATACTTGTTTTATGACTACAACTGTTTAAACAACTACAATATTTGTTTAATATTTTTTTTTTATCACACAGTAATAGAAATTGTTTAACATATGTATATCAATAAATAAAAATAATTGTAAATCTGAAAAGTTTCTGTTGAATCTTGATTTACCAATTGAATTATGTAAATGTTCATTTTAAAAACAAGATTATTCTAATTTTGAATTCATCTTAATGAATTGAGAAACTTTATCATAAATTATCACTTAACTTACTACAGTTGAAATACTTCCTAGTGTTTTGTATCGATCTGACAGTTCTAAATATAGCATCAGAATAGTTAACCAACAAGAGCAAAAAGAAAGAGAATTAAAATTTTTATTTTATTTTTTTTAAATGGAAGAACAGTAAAAAGACTGTGTACAGCAAAAAGTTTGTTTTTTTTATAAATTTTTTGTCAAATATTACTGATCATTACACAGAAACGAATGAGTTGCATATTAAGTTCAAATCTAAATAAACTCAAAACTATCACAATACATAAATTAATTTTTTTATAGCCTAGAAATCATGCCAACAGAGAGTAGTGCTAAAACAATGCTTATCTAGATGTCAACCAACTAATTATAATGTAACAAATGTAATGTTACAGACTATGCATAGCAATTAAGTACTTAAAAAATACAACGAAATTGAAATTAATTTGCTCTTATTTATACAAAATAATGAAATGCCTTACATTTCAAATATTGGTACATTGTAGAAAAATGATAAGGTAAAAATATAAAAATTTTAGGGCGAAAAAATCCTTACATACGGCAAAAAATTTCATGTGCAAGACTCTAGATATTTGCAAAATCTAGAACACATGTGGCCAGAGTAATGTATTATAGACGTTAAATATAACAATGCACATTGGCTTGAAAGCAATGAATTGATATAGACTGTTTGGTAACAACTTATTTCATGCCTTTATTAGAGTGGTCAGGAAGGCAACTGTTAAAATTATATAAGAGAACATACAATATATACATAAACAAAGATCAATTAATTCATTTAAACAGAACAACTTACAGTTTAACACAGATTCAATAAATTAGAAAAATAGCTTTAATTTTGCTTCGCTATAAAATGAAATATCCAATTAAAGAACTTGGCATAAATTTTAAAAAATCAATTTTACGTTGCATAAAAAACATTAGAATTTTTTTTTTCCATTGAAAATTTTCTTATTTGAAGAAGTGACAAAGTAAATTGTTATTCTGTTTTACAGCCTAGTCTACCATAACAGGCTCTTAAAGGTTTACAATTAAAATGGAAAATAATTATTTAAAACATTTATCCATAAAGCTCTTAAATCATGTAAGAGAATAAAAGAACTTAAGAACAAACAAAACAAAAAAAAGTAAATAATATTAACAATGAGAATGCTTAAAATTTTCAAAATGAAAATGAAAAAAAAACATTATTTTTTTTTAAACATGACGTAAAAATATAGTAGAAAATGAAACTCACACAATGTTAGCTTTTCAAGCTTTGTAAATGTACTACTAATATCTTTTCCTATCTGCCTGAAAATGAAAGACAAAACATCAAAAATATAACAAAAGCAAAACTAAGTCAGAGTTTTCAAAAGAAAAATAACAGATAATACTTTTAGTAAATACATTCCTTAACATATCCATTTTTTTATTTTAAAATTATTTAAAACACAAGTTTATACAGAAATAATGATGGAAAAAAAAACTTGTTAGAGTTATAATAATATGCCTAGTTGTTTTCTTAATTAGACAAATATTAAAATTATTAAGATTGTTTATAATAAATTAAAATAGAATTCTGATATAAAACATGTTAAAATATAAACTTATTAAATTTGACACTGTCTTTTTTCATGTTACAAAACTAAATTGTTTAATTAATATAAAATAAATTTAGATATAAGGTCATATTTAAAATTTTAATACATCTAATAAAAAACACTGCAAACATTTTCCGTAAATTAGGAACATGCATTTATGTTATTATTTTCAGGATAAATATTTGGGCCTAAAGATATATACAGGTGAGAATAATTTGTTATTCATAGTGAGGGAAATGAATGTTAATTTTTTTCTTCTTAATTTTATTTTACTAACAGAAAAACAGCAACAACAAAAAAGGTTTTCAATTTTTAAAACAAAAATAGTTAAAAAAATTATGAAATTGACTTGAGATAGTATAATTTTATAAATATTAGCAGTGCAAAACTCAGGGTCAGTATAAAGTAATCCAATTACAATTCTTCAAATTTTGCTTTTCCACTTGACTTTCAGAAGATAAATTTGAATGTTTTAGATCGTACCAAATATGTGTAAAAACTTTCTCTAGCAATGTAAAGTAAAAAATAATTTTTGATTATTCTTTAATAAATCTATTCAAAATCAAACAAAAAAAATGTTTAAAAATACGCTGCCAAATATTTAATAAAGGGGCCAAATATAGAATAGTGGCGGAATATTCGTTACACCATTAAAAGTGGTAATTAATACTTGTTAATGCATGACTCAACTACTACTTATAATAATATACAATTACTGTGATTTCATTTGTAACAATTACACTGCCCAATGTGTAATTTAGCTGAAATGATTGAACCTCATCTAGATTTTTTAGTTAATATTTTATGTGAACATCAAGAATCTAACAAGACTTGTATTTAATTATTATTTTTAAATTTGAAATTTTTAAAGGATTGTGCGAAACAAATTCAGAATACAGAAACAAAAACTTGTATTTACATAATATGAAACAGTTTCACTTCATCCTTAAAGTTCAACACAGTTTAAACTTGAAGTAAAAAAGAAATACATTTTATTTTTCTACATCAACCAAAACACATATGAAACAAAAAAAATCTAAAAAGAAACCAAGAAAAATGATACAGAATAGCAATTTAGAAGGAATATCAATTAACGGTTGAAAGAAAAATACTATTAAAAAGCTAAAGAGAAAAAAAACTATGAAACCAAATTATATATTATATAAAAAGTTTATATTTAAAAACAGAAACTATACAAATAAAATAGTTGCAACTTACTTGGCGACTTGCATGAAATGATTCCACTCTGAGCTACCTTTGAAAGACCTTCCTCTTTTAGATGAAGGTTGAAATCCATTTTCTCTCTGCAATAGTAAACACATCATGCAAAATCAAATTTATAAATAAAAAAAGATGGAGTAATTTGAATGATTAAAGATAGTGCATAGCTGCTAACTTGTTAAAAACAAAAATAGGAACACAAAACATGATATTCATTTTGAACTAACACAATGTATTAACATGCAAATACAACAATACATCAAATGCATAAATTTATATCTCTTTCAAAATTTCAGATATGCAATAAAAAAGAATGATAATCACTAGAGCCCGGATTTTAATGACCTAAAAAATTGCACCAAATGCCCTTAAAAAGTGCAAAAAATGCCTTATGACATGACTCAAATAAAGTAAAAATATTGAACTAAAACAATGTTTTACTCTTTAAAATTGTTATGAGTCATTTCAAAAAATATAAAGCAATGCAATACTTGTTCTATGTTCATTAAAGTTTGAAAAATATGTTTTATATCCTAAAATAACAACAAAAAAAAGGAAAATGTATTGACTCCACAACATTTTCATTTTGTATAGAAATTTTAATGAATATAACAACTTCCATCTCATAATGTTACTAAATATCAGAATTACATTGGATTATTAAATGATTTTTGATATTTTGAAATGTAAACGAGCGTTTTTATACCTGGAGAAACTTCTTTCAACGTCTACTGATGTTATTGGTGCATACTTGAAAAAGACGGTCTCACTTACTGACAATTCTTCTTCAATTTGAAAAGACGTTGCTTCACCTGTTAATATCATAGAAATTTTCTTCATTGCTTGGAAGCCAGTGTTCTTCTCCAAAACTTTGTTCAATTTAGCTGCTACACTTTGTGCTATCTTTCCCCTTGCTTTTTGCAACACTTGACTCACTATGTCAATATAATTTATTGCATCGCAAAGTTCCAATTCTTGTTTCTCCAAGCTTGTAATTGTCAAGGACACAATAGCAAAGTTAGACTTGGTAAATAAGTTCCCTTTGATTTTATCAGAGGCCAACACGTTTTGCGCTATCTTAATTGATGCAGCATCTTCTGAATCAAGACAAATTATAAGACAAATCTTGCATTTCATGTAATAAAATGCCCCAAAAAATAATAATAAAAATTAGAAAAAATTAACAAAAAACTTAAAAAATGCGTTAAAATGCAAAATATGCCCCAGAATTTAAATAAAATGCCCTATAAATCTAAAAAAATGCTCTAAAGGACAAAAAATGACCAAAAATGCAAATGTCATCAAAATCCGGGCCTTAATAATCACATTTGTTTAGTAGACAAAAAATTAATTAAGGAACAATTATAAAAACTCTAGTATACAATTTAAAAACTCTAGCTTTATCCATTTGGACAATGGTACACAAGTAGCAGATTTAGTTTTTTTTCCCCTTTAAAAAAAATAAACAAAAAAATAAAAATATCAGTGGTAAATTATTGTTGATAACAAGGCTCAGTTATACTAGATTAATTAGCAATGTATCCCAATTCAAGGAACATCTGAAATCAGCTTTGATCTTTTTGACCAAACTATTCACAATCCAAATTATTGTGGGGAAATTTCAATATCTCCAACATTACATGCAATGAAAGCCTCTTGTATTTTATCTCCCCAATTTGATTTATTACTGGAAAAAAAAAGAGTTAAAGAACAGTAAAGTGTTGCATCAATTCAATTATCATAAAATTGACATTTTTTGGTATTACACTGGAAGTTATATTCTCACAGTTTAAAAATCTTTTCATATTGTTCTATTTTTTTCATAACTGTTAGTTTGCTTAAATAAAATAGATGACTTTTACACACTTTAAGAAGTAATACTATGTGGCAACATTTATATGTAATGTTACAAAATAATAAAAAAGGGAGAAAAAAAAAATTGAATTAATACAAACCATGCGGCCTTCTTTATTTTTAATGATGGAGCAGAACTCTCCAGTCCTGTCCCTGCAAGTCATTTCTATCTTGAGTAAGCTTTGGTGAGTATTTATTGGAGAGACTTCACAAATATTCTGAGAAAAATCTAATTGAAAATCTTTTTCTCTGTCAGAATTAGTTCTCCTTCGCAAGGTGCTCATTTGAAACTAAAAGTTGCATAGGCACAACAAGGAACTGAAAGTTTTTAAAAAAAGAAGTTAATGAAACATCAGAAAATAGGGTCAGTGGGTATAAAATCAAGCATTTTCTAAAAAACCTTAATTTACTGAACATTTTGAGGCATTTTATATAAATTGGATTCATATAGAATAAATATGAAGATATATAAATGAGAAGGTAAAAATTAATATCTATAGCAAGGTTGGCAAGTTTTGTGAGGTGGTTAAAACCACTGGTAGAAACCGGTTAAAACTGGTTTCTGCCACATTTGTGGCAGAAATTCCGAAAATGACATAAAAGTAAGTACTGAGATTGACATACAATGGATAATTCATAGAAAATACAATTAAATGTTAAACAAAGTACAATTTATTTACAAAATTATCACCATTCAAAATCAAATATTACATTGTCTGCACTCTGCATTAATCTATAACAAAAGACAAGTTTTGATGCAGTTTCTAAACCTAAACAATTTCTCAATTTGATATGCACGAACAAGAAATTTGAGAAGATTCTCTCAAGTCCAGCAGAACTAGCAGGCATTGCCATCAAGGAACAAGCAAGATTTGTGAAATTTTCATCCATTGCATATTTTTTAAAACTGGACCGCCATGTAGCAGCTGGTGTAGTTGTCAAAACTTGACTGGAAAAATAAGCTTCAGGAAATGAGGCCGATTTGTTTAATTTGTTTTGTGGGGCTGATTTGTTATAAAAAATTGATATACTGCACTCCTTATATTTAATATAAACAAAATATATATTTACAAACAATGAATTAAAAAGTTTGTTAGTTATATGGAGTTACATTTTTCAGTTTACTTAAACAAAATGGCATTGAGCAATTAGAGTAGGGAACCGATTATCAGGAACGATCGAGACCATCGCTATTCCGGATAACTGATTTTTCCGGTTTTCTGAATCGCTACAAAAAGCTGTTTTTTTATTGTTAAACCCAAGTAAAAAAATAAAAAATTTGAAAATAATCTTAAAAAGAAAACAAATTGATGAAGTAATACACTAATGATTATTTCCAAAATGATGGTAAGGTAAAAATCAATCAAATCTTTCAAAAAAGAAAGAAAAATCCTAAAATCTTATGAGGGAAAAAAAATTTAAAAAATGGCGGGAAAATTTATGGAATTTCGTTTCAGCTTTTTTTTTTCCGGTTTTCTGATTTCCGGATAACGGGTTCTGTACTGTACTAGAACTAATGTAGGCATTTTTTTTAGTTTCTGCCACTAGCATGGCAAAGTCCAGTTTCTGCCGGCAAAAAGCCAACCCTGATCTATAGTGACAATTTAAAGTGTATGTAAACTATAGTGGCAACTATTTAAAGCTGGCATTTTTTATTCAATTAAGGAAATTGCTTTGCTTTCCAAGAAAAAACTGCCACATGAAGGCAGAAACTAGCATGAAAACTCGTCTATAATTTTAAATATGCTCACTAAGTTTTACCATTATGCTATTTTTATAATTGTATACTATGTTTGTTATATTATTTCCTCCCTATCATTAGCCTCCTTTAAAAACAAAATTTAAAAAAATGTTTTTAGTGTCAAAATTTCTATGCAAGGCTATAATAAAACAGGTAAATTATTTTTTTGTTACTTCTTTATAAAATATAGAATAGATAATTTCTAAGGCAAACACACAAGTAAAAAAAATATCTGTATCATACGACACTTAGCTAAGTCAAACAATATACCCATTTTACCGCACCTCAGAAAACAATCCATAATAAATATAATTTTTAAATTTATTCTTTAAATTTCTATATAGATCTGTTCTTTAGATATCCCTCTAACAGAATGAACTAAAATTATTAGTCTTAGCCAGTTTTTAATGATATTAGAAAAAAGTTTATCAACAGCTTAAACTGAGTACTGCATAAATTGATTATAAAAAGATAGTTTGTAAGCATTAAATTTTTTATCTGTTTGTAAAATTGAGATAAAAATTATTGCTCCAATCCCAGTAAATGACCTTAAAAATATTTCACAAATTATCTCAATTTAAAAGGATAAAATTGATGTTTTTTAACATATAGGGTGACCTGGGGCAATTCACGATCACTCTGTTTCTGGGGTAAATAATGATCACCTAAGTTTTATTTAAAAAAAAAATTTTTTTTTTCAATTTAGGACATGGAGAAGAATCCTTGTACACTTTACTTAAGTATAACTACATTTATTTAATAACAGTTTTTTGTTTAATCTAAGAAAATAAATATCTTTTAAATTGCTTTCCTTATTTTTCACTTCAAAGATGGGTTTCAAAATGTGCACATTTCTGCAAAGATCCCCCTCCCTCTCTTAATAATAAATATTTTGAGTTACTTTCTTTTTCTTTTATATAAAAATAGTGTAAGCTTTTGATTAGTTACTTCACATGTACTGTAAACATTATAATTAATTATAGGAAACTATATCAATTGTTGCCCCCTACAGATGGGGTAATTATTGATCACTGGGGTAATTCTTGATCATGGTCATTTTTTCTTATAAATAGTATAAAAAATAGTTAATAAATATAATTGTGTAACGTATCAAGCTATATTAAGAAACAATTCTTTGTTTTATTTTTAAAAAAACATTTATTTCACACCACAAGTACATTAAATTACCTGCAATGGGTTAATAATAATCCTTCAATAAAATATAGTAAATCCCATAAACTTAAAAGACTAAGAGCTACTCTCCAAAATATCAACAACTCTCTGTTGTTTTAAAAATTGTTATTCTAATTTTATTGTCTGCTTTTTTAAAATTTATCTTTTTATGTGTTTATTTTATTTTATTCATGCTTTTTTGCCAACCGATTATTTTTCATTATTTTTAGACTTTATTATTGCCTTTACTTAAATGACAGTTCAAATTTATTAAGTGGAACAACTATAAAATATATTTCAACTGTAACCACAAAATTTGTTTTTAACTGTACGCAAGACAAATGTGTTCTAATTTGTCTTAACTTACTTCTATCTTAATTTTATTAATTACATTTTTAGAATATTTTTTTAGTTTATAAATTAGCTAAATAAATATGGTGAGAAATTATAAGACTAAAAAGGATACTAAGCTTCTAGAAAGCAAAATTAATGATTGTTTTTTAATGATTGAAAATGAAAATTTCAGTGTGAGAGCTGCTGCCAGAGCTGTTGATATACCTTACTCCACTTTACACTGTCGCTTAATGAAATTAAAAAATCCAGCAAAAGTAACCCATGTAGGAACTCTTTCTTATATTCCTGCAGAACATGAGAATGAGTTGGCTGCTTGCCTAAAATGTATGGCACGATGGGGATTTCCTGTAACTCGAAAAGAAATTAAAGTAATTGTTTATGATTTTGTAATAAAAAATAAGGAGGGTACAACAGCATTAGCTGTGCATTTGCAAAAATATTGTCACTTCAAAGATGATATGCCTGGAGAGGACTGGATAAGTTCATTTATGCATAAGCATAATTTGTCAGCAAAAAAACCAAGTATTTTGGAAAGATCAAGATTTGTGGCCTCTTCAAACCCGTTTATAATTTATGAATTTTATGATTTGCTTGAAAAAGAGCTTTCTTCTCTGAATATAAAGAACAAGCCTTCACATATTTATAACTTGGATGAGACAGCTATGTTTTTAGACCCATCTAAGACAAAGGCTGTCGGAGAAAAAGGATCAAAATTGGCAAGAGCAACCGCAACCTCCGGAAGGGAAGCAGTGACAGTAATGGCATGCGTCAATGCTGTTGGAGAAAGACACCCTCCTCTCATAATCTTCAGCGGAAAAAAACTGCAAAGTACATGGAAAACTTCAAAAGTTGACAAAAATTTGACTTTGGCTGTTAGTGAAACTGGGTGGATGACTGCAGACATTTTTGACAGTTGGTTCATTATTTTTTGTGAGCAAGTGAAAACTCGTCCTCTGCTAATTATTTATGATGGCCACAAGACGCACATGTCCATGAATGTCATAGCTAAAGCCCGAAGTGAGAAAATTTCAATTTTAAAACTACCAGCACATACCACTGACATTTTACAACCCCTTGACAAATGCTGCTTTCGACCCTTAAAAATGAAATGGGATAAAAGACTTACAGAAGTACAACACTTATCAGGAGCAACACGAATCAGTAAAAGTTGTTTTATTGAACTCGTTGATGAAATCTGGCCTGTCACGCTTACATCAGCAAATATCAAATCTGGTTTCCGTTCCACTGGAATATTTCCAATTGATAGAACAAAATATCCAACAGACAGATTTTGTAGTCAGATGCTCAGCTCTTACACCCTCCAAAATTCCCCTGCAAAGAGATTACTACCACTGGCAGTTGATGCTCAGCCAAACCAGTGCAGATTTTCATTGAATAATGCCATTGCCTTGCCTTCGGAAGGTATTTCAGGGTCTTCAGGAAATTCTACACCAATTGTATCATCTGCTTCACAATCCTTCGAAGAACTATTATGCAATCTTTTAAGAAGAACACCGAAAAATGCTCGTTCTGAGACAAGGAGAAAGATAGAAACCAATGCAGCAGTGATTACAAGTAATGAATTTTTAGAATTGGTGGAGAAAAGAGAACAAGAAGTGAAAAGAAAAGGAGATATTCATAAATATAAGAAATCTGGAAAAAAGCAAAAAGTTGATAAGCAGGATCTAGAGAAAGAGGACATGATAGAATCAAATGCTGGCCAAATAAATAGAAATACTCCATTAGATGAAGCTAGATTATTGCTAACAAATATTCACAAGAATATTTTACTACACAGTTATTATGCTGTGTACTATGATAATGATCCTGTATATATTGGCAAAGCAATAAATAGAGAGGATGACATAATCGAAATGAAATTTTTGGAAAGAGGCGCAGGTAACTTCAGGTGGCCCAAACGCGACAAAATTGAAAAAGTTGATGTGAAATATATTTTTTATGGTCCCATATCCTTAACTGGAACAGATCCATTTACAGTTGATAATACAGCAGTAAGCAGTGCATATAAATGCTACAAAAAATTTTGCAAAGATTTTTGGAAAATTTAAAGTGTTAATCTTTATTCTTGTTTCTAAATAAATAGTTTTATTAGCTACTTAAACTGTCTTTTTGGTTTATTTATTTGATCTTGATGTCTTATTTGTTAATTACCACTGTATAATTATTTTTAAACTGCCCCTTTACTGTAAAAACTGGTGATCAGTAATTACCCCAGAAGTGATCAGGAATTACCCCAGAAATGATCAAGACCAGGGGTAATTCCTGATCACTAAAAATTTTAAATTCTAATTAGATTTTCAAACAAAAGAAGGTAGCATAGGACTGATCTCATATAGCCTCAAACTTCCAGTAAATATTAAAATTCTATTTTGAATAGTTTTTCCACAAGATAGATGTTTGCATTTTTTGATCAAGAATTACCCCAGGTCACCCTACCTACTTTACCCCACCTGATCCTATCTTAAAACAAACATTAATTATTTTTAGAAATTATTAACCCCTTAACTGCCGCGGGCGTATATATACGTCTCGGCCAGACGATGCGTTAACTGCCGCAGGCGTATATATACGCTTTTCCGAAGTACGATGCTTTGCATTGCTCTGCTATAAATAGAACTACACCCCCTACTTCAGAATGCAGTAAAATGGCCTTGAAAGTATTTGCTTTGCGAATGTATTACTAATTTCGGAGGAGGGGGAATGGGAAAAGGATGTTATGGAAAAGTGATATCGTATTAATCGCTTGTATTTATTTGAGTAAGGTCGGGTTTATTCTTTTTTCGCTTTTGTTTCCCGTATGTATTTGGCGCTTTTTATTCTTTCCATCAACGTCTTCAAAGAAAAATGCATCGCGAAAATGTGCTGTTTGTTCAAGAAAAAAAATTCGTCGTGAATCCCGCTATCAGTGCGATGAATGTGATGTTGGTTTATGTGTCCAACCATGTTTCAGGATTTATCATACAACAGCTAAGTTTTAACATCTTTTATATTGTATTTTTATTATTTAATTTAAATTTTGTATTTTCTTTCTTTCCTTTTTCTTGTCTTGTAAAATTAAACTGTTTTTAAATTGCAAAGCGTGCATCATTTTCCCCCACCAAAACACCGTGTAAGAAAGTGCACTTGAGCGAAAAACGGTGGCACTGGGGAGTGAATCACGTTAATTTTGCTCGGCAGTTAAGGGGTTAAAATTATAATTAAGACTAGTTGTTTCTCATCTAACATTTACTTTACTATTGAAATGTTTATAAGTTGTGAAAAAATTAATTTTTATTTGTATTTATTAAAATATTAATATACTATCTTTGCTAGCAATGGAAAAAATATCTTCTGAAACTGTGGAAAACCTGTTGTAGAATTCTTAGCAAAACTGCATAAATTACAATACCAGTGGTACAATGCGTCGAAAGAAAACCATAATAATCAACCCATAATAATTTTCAATCGAATGATCGGATCTTCACATTCTAGGAATCAATATTAATGGTTCAAGGGATTGACCTCAAATATGTTAATTAATAAGAGCAGACTATATTTTAAGTTATGAAATCAGACAAAAAACATACTTTCTCACAATAAATATACCTTTTTTTTTTAACGGATTTGGATTTTTGACTTCCAAAATGTAGGGGACAGCTGCAATCTGGGAAATATGGTTCAAATAGTTTGGTCAGAAGAGTGCTCCAAAATATGGACCCTGTAACCTTAATTTTATTTTACAGATATTTCACTATATCTCGAGAACTTTTTAAGCGAATTGAAAAATTTTTGCTCATAATTATAAAACTCGTCTACCTAAAGATAATTCTAAAAAAAAAAATTAAATTTAATAAATATTTATTTTTATTATTTTATTTAGAAGTCGAAAAATTTTGAATTACAAGTAGGCAATCTTTTAGAAATATAATTTTAAAGTATCCAATTACACAGCAAAATACAAAATTTATGCAAAATCGATTGAATAGTTCCTGGGAAATTGAATTTTAGAAAGTCATAGATTAAAGATCTGATCATTAGATCAAAAGTTATTCAGGGTGGTCTGTTTTCACATTATACATATTAAATAAACATCACTTGCATTAGTGTCAATAATAATACGAAGATTTTTATGGTTCCCCAAAACAAATAAGTATCTTTTTCCATCTTCATAACTTTTTTTTAATACTTCAATTAATACCTATTGCCAACATTAACTAAGCATCATTGTCGTCAATGATAGTATAATGATATCTTACAGTTCTTCCAGACATATAAATAGGATCTTTACTCCATTGTTTTTGCTCTCTAGTACATAACCTATTGCTTTTATTTCAATATGCATTTATAACCTAAAATAAGCATCATTGGTGTCAATAACATGATTTTTTTATACTTCTCTTAAAGGAATTAGTAATACAGAAATATTTCTTTCTATTACTGTTGATTTTGAATAAATAATTTTTAGTAACACATTTTAAAAGATATATAATAAAAATAGAAAAATCATGTGATTTCAGACAACTTTAAAAGTATGAACCTGGTGACATAGACCACACTTGCTACCACGTAATATTGTTCATTGAATTTATTTGACATAGCTAATATAAAATTAAATATTAAAATATGTGCAATAAACTATTTTTGTTGACTAAATAGAGATATAAGCAATCAATTATCACTGATGTTATCGTTAAACTATGTGAAAAATTGTCTCATTGACAGAAGAATTTAAAACAAAGGCTAAGGAACTTAACCAATCAGAAAATTCCATTTCGTTTTTTTTTTTTGGTTTCCCCGCTCAAAGGGTTCATTGTAGAATGTTCTAATGTCAACGTTGGCCTTCCTTGTGCATAGAACTATCTGTATATGCCAAATTTCATCAATTTCGGTAGGATGGTTTAGATGTCTTTAAAGGGCACGCAGACCGACCTTTATTTTTATAAATATAGACTAATATCATACATATACTTGTTAAATATCAAAAAATTCATTTATAATGCATGAAAACCATTATCGAGAATTAATATAAACAAAATCATTTAAGTTATATTTTAATTTAAAGCCACACAATGTTGCAGGAAGTTTTAATACTATTGCACACGTATTGATTGCCTATATTATAAAAAAATCAAGATATTAGGAAAACAAAATCACTTTGCCAACATAATTACAGTACCATCACTAACTTTTCTCCAACTGTCAGCTAATCTTTCTGTTTGAATAGGTTTATAACCTCACATTTAGTTGAATCTGTTAGGTTAAAACAGTATTCATAAGATATTGACCTGAGTATATTTCCTCCTCTTAAATCTTTTTTAATTCCGAACGTGGCATTCGATGTAAAAAGACACATAAGCCTTTACGTCATAGGCAAACACTCGCTTTTTTTTAAACTATAATAAAACAAAAATCTCTTTGACGGAATTGCATAGAATGTAATTCCCAGGAACAAAAGGCAAATTAGAATATATAATAATAATATGCATTAATAATATATAACAAAATATATATCAATTTGAAGTACACACAACAAAAAAGAAATAACTGTAATTTAAATAAGGATATTAGCAATACAATATTAAAGATCAACTGCAGGTAAGTTTATGATGCAACGGACATGTAAGATGCAAATTCATGCACTTCAAAATTAAAGTGCAAGAAACAACTACATTTATAAAAATATAAAGATTAAAAATTAAAATTAGAACAAAACATTCTTATACCTTAAATATAATCACTTTTTCAGTAAGCAAACAAAAAGTAATGTAAGCAAACGTCATTATTCTATCTTTGGATACAGTTAAGGAAGAAAACAAAATGTCTACTTTTTAAAATTTTAAATTTTCCAAAAGAAATCACAACATAACGTTTAGACAGTGCATGAATGCGATTATATAAATACAAATGACACAATAACTTTCTTGTCAGAGTAAATAATCATTTTTTTTAAATTAGTTAGATCAGAAAAGAACTTAGGTCTATTTTTACTAATGTAGTGAGTAAGTGATTTANTTTCGAGTGACTGTAGATCAGAAAAGAACTTAGGTCTATTTTTACTAATGTAGTAAGTAAGTGATTTAGCACTTGAGCATGTAAAGTGTATGCGCGCATTTACGTAAACATATAAGTGTTTTGAATGTTTCATTGGTTGAATGGAACCAATCACGATAAGTCGGGACTTCGTATAATAGTTTAAATAGTTTCGGTTTTCTTTCTCATTTTGTAGAAGTTGTTGTAGTTTATTTACCTCGCTCTAGAGCTGCACCGAAGACATGTCATCGCAATTTTGATCCTCTGCAGAGGGGTTGGCACCTCCGCTTCTACAGCCCGACGACCTGCGTGCGAAGTCGAGCACTTAACGGTGGAACAGTTTAACGAGGACCAATTCCGCACACCCTCATTCCCCTCGTAGACTGATCCAAGTGGTCACCCGCCCGTACACTGACAGCAGCCTGTGATGCTTAATTTCGGTGTTCTTCAGGGAACCGTGAAAAAAAAACGGTTAAATATTGTTAAAACATTGCTAATCACATAATTATTGACTAAAATATAATTTCAATTTACTATCCAATAATTATTTACAATAAATTTAACAAAATGTTGAAATGGAAGAAATATGTTACTCAGCACATAACAATTGAGTCTTTAAATTCAGAAGTTGCAAATTTATAGCGCTAAAATAATGTGTAAATGTCATTTTTATTTCAACAATTTTAACTTACACGCTTTTTCATCTTTCCATAAATTTCAAAATTACGACATATTTATCTCTAGAATTTTCAACAGAAGTTATATAACTTCTTTTTTGCATAACCTGATTATCGAAAACGCAATGAAAGTAAATTTGACACTTATGACTCGAATTTTTTATTATCGTTATTATAATTAAATTACTAAAGCCATGTATTTTTTAGATGATGGCTATAGCCACTCCAAAGCTTATTATCCGTCAAAAATAGTTTTCTTTGATAAGAAATTATTTTTTACTGTGCACATTTTTTACTTCTGAATGTAGTTTTCTTTTTTAAATTTAAAAAAAAAAAAGATCTATTGTTGAAAGATATTGCAGTATCCTCACTACCGAGTCAAACTCCCAAACAACAACTGCCCCCTGACGCAGTTGTGAGATTTAACTATGCTACTTCAACTTCTACTTCCGAACTTTGAACTGAAGTGAACTGTAGTTTTGATAAAATATAAACATTCACGCACAAGTTCGTTCACGAGATGTTGTTCATCTGATATTTTTCTCACTCGCGATCGTCAGCGAGATATGTTTTTTTTTTTTCATGTAACCTTTAATTATTTTATTTTAATTACATTAAAATGTAATATTTTGGATTAACTATTATTTCATTTCTGCTGCATTTAAGACAGGATTGGACTTCGTGATGTTTTTTTATTTCATGTAACCTTTAGTTATTTTATTTTAATTACATTAAAATGTAATATTTTGGATTAACTATTATTTCATTTCTGCTGCATTTAAGACAGGATTGGACTTCGTGATCGGGTCTGAACCTGTAATATAATGGAATGCGAAATTTTTCCTGAGACGTTTTACATTTCTCCTCTCTCTTTTAAAATTTTTTAGAAGGAATTTCAGGAGGAAATTCACAACTTAATCTTAGTCTGACGAAAAACTTAATTTTATTATTTTAATCTGAAATGAAAATTCTCATAATACCATACTGTTGTACAGTTTTTATTCCATAATTATGCTGTTTATGAGTGTGATTAATAATTTATGGGAAGATTGAAGGGACAGACATTGCATTTCCTAACTTCATTTTACCCTTGTGCGGAATCCTCTTATATTTTTTTTAAAAACAAAAACAAGAAAAGTATGGTTTTGCTTAGGACATTATATATACAAGCATGTAAATGATTTACGTAAATTTTTGCGGAAACTTCGAACCCTGTGTTGCAATTCATCCCAGAACCTTTCTCTAAACTATCCTATCTAAACTATATATCCTTATAAACTATATAAATGTTATATACTATAGTACATAACATTTGTTTTTAATTTAATTTTTCCTAAATTGCCTGATATTTTAGATTAAGAAAAAATATTTTTATTTTCGTTCTAAGAAAAGATTTAGGAAATATTTTCATAATTAATTTTCCTAAAGGTTTCAGATAGATAGGAAATAGTTTTCATAAATATTTATTATCCCAATCCTTTAAGATGTTAAAAAAACATGAAAATATTAGAAAGAATTTTTAAAAAATTGAAATTCAATTACTAATAAAAATAGTACTGATGACAAACGAATAATGAAAGTGCCGCTGGATAAGCTTTCATTGGCTACATAATTTTGGCACTTGCAATAAAATTGTGTGTTGAAACAGTAATGTCATATAATTCTTAGAAATAAATATGACATGCACTGATACTGGAGCCGCGGCGACTCAGGGAATAGAGTGCTCACCTCCCAATGATGTCACAAGGGTTCGAATTCCAGTGGCGGCTGGTCTTTCCACATCCGGCTCGCACCGACCCCAGTGATCACGTAAAGACCCTCTTTGCCGTCAAGCAAACCATGGGTAGTTTTCTTCTCCATACAACGCAAAGGCTGGTTAGTTCCACTAGAAAGTCTTCCACGAAGAAGATATTTTTTAAAGATAAAAATATTTTTTTTAAAAATGAATCAGCTTCAATTGCGAATACATTGCATCGTATAAGGCATTGCTCTCCTTTGTTTTCTAATTATAATTAATAGTTGCGTCTGAGGGGGTCATTTGACGGACACTTTATTGATTTTTTTAAAATTGTTTGGTTGTTCAAACGATATTATTCTCAAGTCTAAGGATATGTGTTAAAATTTCTTAAAACATTTACATATGCTAAAAAATGTTTATAAAACATTTTTAAATAATTTTTTTTTACTTTGTCCTTGTCACTCAATACTGTTAGCACAGATTTCTCTTAAATTCGATAATGCTAATATGATATGAGGTGGGTTAAAAAACTCTGTGTAGTATACATTTAATGTATAATATTGTCTATTTCGGTAATAGGCATTGCTCTCCTTTGTTTTTTTACTTATTATTAATAGATGCGTTAATTGGGGGACGGTTCTTTTAAATTATTTTTTTTGGCTCAAAAGAAAACTTTCATATTCTTTTATTATAAATTTAATTAACGATTCTGACCATCAATGCAAACATACAGTATATCTGATATGATAGATTCCTTTTAAACAGAGCTCTTAAAAGACCGAAAGAATGGCAGCAAAACTACGAAGATAAATTAATTTTTTAACGTTTATTTTCAGCATATAATTGAATGATTAATTTTAAAAACACCAAATACCTGGTAACAAAATCTTAAGTTATTATATTTTAATTTTATAGCTAAAGATAACTTCATTATTACAATATCAACGCCGCAGTTTACGTAATGTTTTAAGGACTGCATGAACCCTGTTAATAATAAAATAGATGTTTGGTTTTACGAGCGTAAGATTCGGATTAAAATAATGCTCAACACCCAAATGTAATACAATATATTTGATTGTAAGAAATTAATTGGCTTCAAAAAATATGAAGAGGGTAATAAAAATCGAAAAGTTTCGAGAACTCAGAAATAAACGAACATTGTAACCAGACCTGAATTAAGAAAGCTAAAGTGATTTGAAACAAAATATGAAGTTGCCAACGAAAAATAAAGCTGGAAGAACCGCACTATTTAAGAGTAAAATAGGAAATAAAATAAGAGTTACGTTAGATAATGGGTATGGCTCTTAGATTGAAAAAAAATATTAAAATATAATTCGTCACAAATTTCTAAAAATTCAATGCAGAACAATTTTATTAATTTTTTTGACTGCTGCTCTGAAAAAAACAAACATTGTTTAAGGATGATAAACAATTCAGTCTACAACTGAAATTTCAAAAGTCGAATGAGACAATGGAAAGACTCATCTCCCCTGGAATCAAAGTTAAATAGTTACAAGGCAAATTATTTCGGACAAATTAACGTCTCTGTTCCACTCGAAATTTTTTGAAAATGTTTTTTATTTTTCGATCCAAAATTTATATATATTTCAGGGTTTACTTCAGAGAATATTTCGATAGAATTTATTGTTTTTTGTCCTTTATTTAATTCTTATTTCTTGATTACAATTACTGAAGTTATATGATTTAATGCATGTTATAGTATAATGGTAAGCGTGGCTTTTCCTCATCTTTCCTGTTGCTCTCAACAAAATAAAGGAACCAGTTTAAATAAATAGCAGTTGAATTGTTTCTAACTGTTTCAAGCAATAAAATGTTTTGTGCAAACAGACTTCAATTCTGGGGTTAATGAAATCATTGACACGGTACAATTGAGCCGCAATGAAATATTAACATTCACGTCTCTCTAGAACAAAACATAAAAATAAAAAAATTCTATTTATAATTTCTGAAAAGATAAAAATAATATGCTAAATATAATTTGCTGAAGAAATTAAAATTACTGACAAATTACTCCTCTAAAGTAAGTTATAGTCCAAAAATGTCTTAATATACGTCACCTTACCTTAGAAAAACCTTAGGTTAGAAAAAGAACAATTTTTTGAGATGATTCTAAAGCTTTTTTTTGACATATCAATATTTTGTGAATTGTACTAAGGTTGATAAATAGTATTAACTTTTTTAAGCGAATTTTTTCACCATTATCTTTTTTAAAAGGGCAAATTTCTTAAAGTCAGCAGGAGAGAATAAGCTTGAACTGCAAAGTAAAATAGTAATTCGAGAATTTTTTGTCCTTTTAAAAAACAACGCAACCTATTGTATTTTTTTTGAGCATTAAATTAATAAATAAGAAACAATAAAAATAAACAGTCAATAATTTATCTACATTTCTTGAAAAAATAATATGCTGTGTAACTAGCAACAAGTAATTTTAAAACAGATTTTTTTAAAAATTTCTAACAAGTTTAATCAACAATTCTAAGTTACTTTCAT